ACAAAGTCAGAGTCAATGAAATTGTCATCCGCACCAGAATCTATCAAGACCTGAAGCGGAAAAGAGGCCTGAGACCAAGAAATAGTACCTTTGACTGGGATGCGGTTGGAGGAGGCTGAGTTGATAGAGGTATGGCTCATCAGTACTCCCCCTGTTGCTGATGAGCCAGGTCTTTTGGCTGAGTAGGACAACCGGCGCGGAAGTGACCAGCCTGGCCACAGTAGAAGCAGAGTCTCTGATGAAGACGGCGTTGACGTTCTGATTGGGTAAGCGTCATCCTTCCCAGCTGCATGGGCTCCTCCATGAGGAAGGGAGAGGCCTTGGTAGCAGGCGAAGCACTGGAAGGCCAGGAGTCTGGAGGATGAAGAGAAGGTCCAGGGAACGCAGGCTGTCTAGGAAACTTGGACTGAGGGGGAAGGGAGGTGGAGCTATGCTTTCCTGATCTCTCCCTACGCCTCTCGCGGAGGCGGTTATCTAATCGTGTCGCTAAAGAAATCAACTCCTCTAAGGAGGAAGTTTCATCCCTGGCAGCTAGTTCATCCTTTAAATCATCATTTAGCCCCTTACAAAAAATTCCCAGCAAGGCCATGTCATCCCAACCGCTCTCAGCTGCAAGAATGCGGAAATCTATAGCAAAATTAGCAACAGAGCCTGAACCCTGGTGGAGTGAAAGGAGTCTTTTACCAGCCTCCTTCCCCCTCACTGGATGATCAAAAACCTTACGCATCTCTGCAGTAAAAGACCGCAGAGACTGACTGATAGGCGAGTTGCTGTTAGATATGCAAGGGCCCATGCTGCTGCTTTATCACTCAGTAGGCTCATAATAAAAGCAACCCTAGATCTATCAGTGGAATAAGTGAATGGTTGTTGCTCAAACACAAGACTACATTGGTGCAAGAACTGACTACAAGACCCTAAATCTCCTGAATACCTGACGGGAGTGGGGATAAAGGGCTCACGAGGATTGCAGGGCTGTCGTTCCGGATCAGCTTGAGGTGGAGGAGCAGGATCTGGAGCTTGAGCATTGGCAGTCAGCGGGCGCGTGGAGAGATGTGCTGCGACCTGATCCATACGGCCTCCGAGGTTGGTCACACCGGAGGTTAATTCCTGAATCGCTTCCATTACCTTCTGCAGGGCTCTGTCATGATGCCCTATAATTACACCTTGGGCAGCAAGCGCTTCCCTGAATCTCTCATTCTCTGCGGGGTCCATTTGGCCAGAGAATTCTGTGACGTATGGATTCTTGGACCCCAAAGCAGAGACAGACACAAGTAAAGCTCAAGGTGTTTAATAAATAATAGGCCAAGGCAGGTACTGAAAACAGGGAGCTGGCTGGCTGCAGAAAGGTCCAAAAACAAAGCGGAGGGAAACGTCCCAGGCTATACTCAAAAAGTAGCTCAAAAACTGCAAAGAAACAAAACAAAACTCAAGGCTGCAGAAAGGCACTCTGGATCGTTGAACAGCATTTCATTCTCTGGCAGAGAAGTGAGGTGAGGGCCAGGCTCTTAAAGAGCAGGTGATTATCTGAGTGGGAACAGGTGTGCCTCATCTGCAGCCAGGAGAATACCAGCCACGCCCCCTGTCACACACCAGCCCTGCAGAGAAGGAGAGACAGAGTAGTGAGGGGTAAAAGGAGCAAAACAGGAAATAACACAACAACAACAAAACCCATGCATAAACATTACAGTTTGTGACCTACACACTTTAGCAAAGTGATTGGGCTTCTTGCATTTGCTGCATTGGCGACCCTTTGCTGGACATTCCTCAGTGCGACTGTGCTCCCTCCCGCATGCTCCACATTCCTTGCTCCTCACGGCGCTGTTACGATCATTCCATGTCGTCTTGTGCCCACGGGATGCTTGGTCTGCTCTAAAAGGTTTTCTGCTAACTGCTTGAGCAGAGCGACTGTCGTGGCTAGCAGCGGGGGTTAGCATTGTCTTTAGCTGCTGCTGTGATAGCTCATGTGAACGTGCAATGTCAATGGCTTTCTCTAGCGTCAAGTCTGGACCGTGACATAGCAGTTTTTCGTGCACTCTTTGTGAGTTTGTAGCAAAGACAATCCTGTCTCTAATCATTTCCTCACTGTTTGGGTAGTTGCAGTATTTACTTAGCAATTTTAGCTCCGTTACAAACTGGTCGAAACTTTCAGTGTCTCCTTGGATTTTTTCATGAAATTTATAGCGCGCAAATATGGGATTTGCTTTCGGAGTTACATAAGCTTCAAAACCGTCATAGTACGTTTTTAGTACCTTACTTTGGTCTTCTGTGAGAGTCCATGTGTTAAAGACGTCTGCCTTTTTCCCCAATCCATAGGAGTAGATAGCTACATTTTTCCTCCTCGTCTTTAGCATGTAGCGGGCCTGAAAACATTAGCTGCACATGCTGCCGAAACTTTCTCCATGCGTCCGGCAGATTAGACGAGTCCCAGTCCATTCGTGGTGTTGGAACGCCTGTGTTCTCCATTTTCCGTCGTCAGGTCGATGATAACTGAACTAATTCTGACACCATGTAATATTCTGTTCTATGGACATATAAGTGTCTACATAAACAGATGAAGCGGACTACTTGTGACATTCCGAGTGTCCATCTTTATTTAACTGGCGCGTAACATGCACACATGCATTACGTCCTCAACGTGATCTCTGTAATCAAAGATCTTGTATTCACCAAGATGTTACAACATGGACGTAAAGTACCTCAAATTTGTATTTCAATGTACTTGAGCATAAAGTAGTTACATCCCACCACTGGTCCCTGTCATTGTTGTTACGTATTGCCCTGCTTCCTTGACCTTCAAGATTTACGGCCCAATCCCTTCAACCTTTTCTAACGCTTCACAGATCTCTGCACAAATGGAGTCATAGCTCACATCTTATGAGCTCTGACAAGTGCACTACTCTGTCTCTCTCTCCAACACACTCGTCCAACCGTCTTTACAGATGGCTCTATGACAGAATTGCAAATCTAAGCCATTTATAGGATTATGATTTAATGGTCAATGTGTGGACTAAGCGTTTTGTAATGGGGTGTTGGACATGACAAGGTCTCAAATCTCTCTCACAAACACACTTCGTTTCCAATGACATAGTACTTAAAACAAGCTAAATATTTCCTCAAAGTAAAGAATTACCTTGGGAAACACTGACTGAGAGTGGTGTCTCCTGCACATTTGCCCTCTCACTCTTCACAGCCAGGCCCATGAGTCAGGCTGGAAAACACACTAGACCCCTGTCTCATCTCTGTACAGAAGTCAGAAAAAAAAACTGCTCACAGCCGCCAAAAACCATCCCACTAACCCCACAGGGAATGGACTTAACTTGGGCACAAAGGACCTGGTTATATTTCACCGTTGGATGGCCTTTGTGCCTGTGAATCGGCTAACACTGAGGCTGTGTCTCCTTCCTCGTCCAACCTGTCCGTCTCCTAAGCTGACAAGCAGGTCTTATTTAGGGAGAAGCACTGAAAAAGTCCACTGGGTGTTTGATGGATTTTGTCTTACACACACGCACAGGTTTCCACATGGACACTTTCCAAATGAGAGCTCACTCGCAACAGATTTCTCACACTAGAATTGTAAGAGGGCGGGATTGACTGAGAAAGGGGGGGAAAGAGGAGGAGGGTGTGGTGGTGGTGGTGGTTGGGGGGGGGTCTTTTCAGTTCCTTTTTGGAGGCAACAATAGTCTTTGTCCGAGATCTTCCACCATTCTTATTAGGGTTACCAAAAGGAGGAGGAGGAGGAGGAGGAGGAGGAGGAGGAGGAGGAGAAGGAGGCGGAGGAGAAGGGGCATGCAGGCGGAGGGCAGTTTCTCCATAGTAACAATGACAAAACAAGCCAGTTCAACACCAGGCAGGCAAAAGGGATGATTGCAGCTGCTGAACAGGAGCACACAGATTTTGGCCGCGTGGAGTGCAGCTCACATAGAGAGAGAGGAGGAAGACCTGTTCAGAGAGGTGGAGATCTATTGGAGTAAAGAAGATTCCCAGAGTTTTATGAGAAAGTGCCTGTCAAAGAAAGTGCTGGGAGGCAACACGTGAGAGGGCACACACTTACACTGTACCCTCCCAGCATGGACCGAGACAGTCACAGCGAGGATACCTTGTCCACCATGGTTCTGGAGAACATCAAAAACAAACTGATTCATGCCTTCAGGGCAACAGGAGAGTCCAGAGTAAACCCTCAAGACTCTGGATCCACTGTCAGACCCGTAAGCATCGGCAGGAGTTACCAAGCGAACGAAGAGCTGCGGAGGGCGCAGATAGATGGAGCGATAACCTGGCTGAGGTCTGAACTGGTGAGTTGACTAAAAGATTTGACCTTATATGCTGTTTTCCTTTGTAGTTTGCCACTGTTGTAATGCCTTTATCTGTTGGTGATATCACTTTCGAATCCACTTTTATGCATTACATTTTCAAAAATGCTGATTCATTTCTTTCATTGTTGTCATGCAGCTGGAGATGCGCTCACAGGACCTCCAGCTGGCTCAGACACTACTGGGGCTCAACACAGAGATCCAAAGACTGAGGAGGGAGAGTTTTGGAGGTGTGGAAGTAGAGGGGGAGGATCAGCAGTAATCGGCCCCAGTAAAGAGACCTTTCTTTGGGGGAAGACTTCTTGGAACCTATAGTCCTAATGCAACTGAACAGAAAAGATTGAATCAATTGTCTTGGCTCATTGTAGTAAAATGTGTCATGGTAAAACTAGACAACTGTTGCATGTGAAGTAATTTGGGTAGAGGAGAGTTAAATGAGCGCTTTTGTGTAATGCTGGCATTGTTTTTGAATAGATCTTTTGCACTTATGCAGAGTTGTACTAAAGACACCTGTATGTACATGTTTTGTTAGGTCATAGAACAAGGCCGTATGAATGTAAAACTGAAATAGAAAACCACATTGTCCAAATTCTATGTTGACATGTTTTGTGATTTAACAATAAATACAATTTGCACCATGAGTGATTTCATATATTTATTTTGATGGCATACTATACTGTAGTACAGCACCTGTTTGAATTTCAGGATGGTTTGTTAATCCATGTCTCACACTCAACATAAGTAGTTTATTCAATATTAAATTCTATACACAAACAATCTGACCCAGTTAACATTTCAAACATGGATTCACAGGTGTGTTTCCTCTTGACTACTAACTAAAGTATCCCTATAATACTTTCTCAAAGAGGTATTCAAGAATAGTGTCATATTGTCTCCAGAATGATTCACCACTGCATGTGAACAATAACGAAGCATGAACTCCAGGCTGCTGCATTGAATCCATTCTTCATGCCGTTACAGTCGTTAAAGGTCAGTGAGCTTTCAGCACATACATATATTATAGAATTTATTCATAAGATATATCCAATATACAAAAATCACAATCTCAACAGTGTTTGGTAAAACCAGCTTTAATGTGTCGCAAGCAGCTGTTAACATTCATTTGAGTGTATAGGGTGAAGAAAACGTTCTCTTGCTTTTCTGACACACACACAATGCTACACAAATACATGAATGATTGCCTTTAGGTCAATGTCTGATACAGGACTTATTATATCCTCTGTCACATTTCTACACTTACTAAAATGTTTTTAGACATTTAAAAAAGAAGAAGTTTGAAGACAAAATTGAGACTGCTCTTGTTTTAGCCATTGTTAGCTTAGCATAAAGACTAAGAAAACGAGGGCAAACAGCTAGCATGGCTCTATTGAAGTCAACAAAAGCCACCTTAAACACCCCTATTGTTCACAAAATAACAATATATCACATTTATTTTAATCTTTACAAAAAATGAAGTCAACATGCTTGCAGTCAAGCTAGCTCTTCCCTCGGTTTCCTGTCTTGAACTCTTTGCCAAAAGTAGATAAGTGTATTTCCAAAAACACCTAACAGTTATTTTAAATTCAACCGGTCTGAAATGGTTGTGAATGAATGAATTAAGAAAGGATACATTGTAAGCTAAAGAAGACATTAAAATGGCTTTAAATTAAGGGGTTTAAATTGTACAAACAGCAGGCCTTTCCTTTTTTCCCCTCAACTCGTCAAACCCTTTGCTTCTCTCAAGAAAAAAAAAATACATAGAAGTAAGCAAATTTATTGTGGAATATAGCAAATGTATTTATCTTGCTCCACCTTGTCTTTGTTGACTGCCTACATAAGTTGATGAGAGACTTTAAAAGTTATATTTCTTATTATTTTCAAGGCACAGACCTCCTCCTGTTGAACACCCTCTTTGATAAAACCCTTGAGTAAAGGGATGGAGGTGTCTTGAGAAAGGAAATGGCAACGCCCACCCCTCCTGAGCCGGACGAGTATACGCTGCCACTTCCTTGTTCACTCTCAGAGTCCCAGTAGCTGCTTTCCTCTTCCTCCTCTGCTTCCTCCTCATCTGTTTCTTCCTCTTGCTCCTCCTCTGACAACTCCTGCTTCAGCTCCTGGATGCCGGAGTGAAGATCCATCAGCTGCCGGATCAGAGCTTGGTCCTGGGAACGCATCTCCATCTGCAAATACAAAGGGAAAAGTTCAGTTCTCCTTTTTGCTAATACTTTCATTGCTGGAAAATCTGAAATTTCAGTTTCTTGCACCATTAAGCTGAGCAGGTTCATGCTCAGTGTGACACCATTTGAGCGTTGCCTTCTTTCAAATGCAAATGCAACTTACTGCCGTTCTTTTTCTTCCCTTTTTTATAAGAGGCTGTCTAATTGCCAGCATTGAAAAATAAGATATTCTGAGTTCCACAAACTTCAGAGTCCAATTTTGTCCTAAGGAGAGAGGAATGTCCCACACAAAAAAGCCATCTGGGCCGTTCTGCATTTCTTTTCTCTTTAATTACTCCACCAGACTGAGTGTGAGCCCCGGCTGAAAGATGCTGGTTTTACCGCCTTTGTCCACACTTGAAAAATGAGAGAAAAAACGTGGATCCAGCCCTTTTTGAAGATTTGTACTGGACACTGTCTGTGTGTGTGTGTGTGTGTGTGTGTGTGTGTGTGTGTGTGTGTGTGTGTGTGTGTGTGTGTGTGTGTGTGTGTGTGTGTGTGTGTGTGTGTGTGTGTGTGTGTGACCCAAAACCTCCTATTGGTCAGTGCAAGGGAAAATACATGGTAAATTGGTGCCTTTTGGGTCTTAAGAAAAAATCAATAGTCTTTCTTTGACTCTACTTTCTGGATTATCAAGATTTCACCAAGTAAAAATCCCAGGTATGATTGATTAGATAATAAAGCAATTTGATTGATAAAACTAGATAGCCATGGACTAACCAGCATTTGAACATATATAGATGTGATAAGGATTCATATTTATTCTAGATTAAAGCTCAACAGCAGCTACACTATGGAACATGAAGTGAGATTGTTTTGTTAACTGCTGTTTCCAAGGTAAAGAATGAACTTTGAAACTCAAACGTTAAGCCAACATGGAGAAAAGAGCTCAACAAATCATCAAAACATCTACATTTCTCTGACAACATGGTAAACCCTGTCATGTGATATTCAAGTTCAACATCATGTGACTTTTAGCTGGTTTCATTCAAGGCTGTTACACAGCGGGATCTTATTAAACTAAGCAGGAGGACTCTGATTTTACTACACATGGTTCTTCTCCTCCTCCTCCTCTGTGTCCTCTGTGTTACCATGACGAGCCTGTCTGGGTGGATGCACTAAAGGCCAAGAGATGTATTAGACTGTGACAATGAGCCTCACAGTTACTGACAGAGGTGCAAACACACACACACACACACACACACACACACACACACACACACACACACACACACACACACACACACACACACACACACACACCACACACACACACACACACACACACACACACACACACACACACACACACACACACACACACACACACACACACACACAACCCCTTTGACCGGAGAGAATGGTTTGAAAGGGGTTGACATTGTAACAACATGACCTACATGCATCTCAGAAACAAAAAGGTAATAACTTCCCACAAAGAAAAAAAATTCAAGATGCTCCCGGGGGTCATCTTGTTGTGGTGACTATGGTGACTAAGGTCTTGACCTTCAGCCTAACGACCAATAAAGTGCTTTTACATTGTCATTGCCAAATTCCCTTTGGCTGAAAGGTTCAATTCAACAGTGAAACTCTGGAGTTCACAGCATGTCAAATTCAAATATTCAGATCCTTTAACCAAAGCACTGCCACAATGTGAAAATACCTAAAATCCTGATTGGAGTGAAAGTTTTACCAACAAAAATATTTTAAGGGAGTCTTTACAAAAGGTCCTCATACCTAAACGATACAACCAATTGTTTGCCAATGATTCGTAAGGTGAAAGTTCATGCATTATAGCGACTTGGTCTAGAAAAAGATTGTGATTTGTAGTTAAATTAGGATTATTTTTTTTACATACTTCATATAAAGTATTATGTTACTTGTCAATGTAGAAACGTAGTATTTTCTAAACTTAAAATAACAAAACATTTTGACTTTTGGTTTGGTTTCACACAGGACCCATACCTTGTGTTTCATAGGTGAAAGTCCTGTGTTTGTTTGACTATTGTTGCTCTTTATACTACTTAAGCTTATTTCCTCCAACATCCACAAGGAGAAATAACCCAATAGAGGTCAAATGTAGCATTTGATTGTTCATCAATTCAACTTACTAAAATGATTTAAAAACCTAAAGTATTTTTATGCAAAAGGCCTCCTATCATCTTAAATTCTGGAGCTCCCAAGGCACTGGAGATGTAACATATAAATCAATCAATTAAAAAAAGAAATACATATCAAATAAACCTCAGAATTAAATACTTAGAAAAATATAATTTCCACAAAGAAAACGTTGATATGGACTTCATCATTATCATCATCATCATGAGAACACAGCTTTATTCTTACCAGTTCTCTTCGCAGCCAGGCCAGTGCGCTCTCTATGTCCAGTTTTCCAGCTTCCTCTCCAGCTGTGCATCCCGCCCTGCTGCGAGGATCCCTGCATGCACTCGGTCCTGCTGCCTTACTGTCATCAAAGGTGGAGGTTTTGCAGGAGAAGTCCCGCAGTCTGGTTAGGACGACTTCCATCATGTCAGGTTAGTGATATCCTGAATATGTCTAACTTTGTTTCTTCTCTGCTGTGTGTTCTCAGCTGTAGTACAGCCTCGTCTGATCCCTCTGTCTCCTCTGTTATGAGATCCCTCTCAGTTCTGACGACTTATGAGAAACTCACCCTCTTTCCCTATTTCATCCACACTCCTGTCTCCCCCCCCGCCCCCTCTCTGCTCTCTGCCTGTCTCTCAGTGTCGAGTGTGAATGTTGACCAAGCACGTCTGACGTCATTGCATTGTCCAGATGCCTTAAGAGGAGTTGTTTACCACCGTTTTTTTTAAGGAGGGGGGGGGGGGGGTCGTTTATCAGGCTCACAAACACAAGGATCCTTAAGATGGAGAGGAGGCTGGCAGAAGTGGCCTAGGCAACAAGAGTTGTGTATCTTTAAAAAATATATATTGCAGTGGTTCGGGTCTGTTGTTTCTGTCCGTTCGAATAGGATGCAGAGGACATAACTTTACACACTCACAGATACACACACATGAACACTGACACACATGCAGGGCTTCAGTGTAAGTAGGGCTCTCATGAACTGGTGAGTGGCCCGTTGCAGGGTCAGGATACTAAGAACAGTGTGAACAGCCATGTGTAACTAACCCCTCTCGTTCCATTTTACTCTCACCCTGCAGCCCCTAGCAACCTCACTACATCATCTATTCACACACACACACACACACACACACACACACACACACACACACACACACACACACACACACACACACACACACACACACACACACACACACACACACACACACACACACACACACACACACACACACACACACACACACACACACACAAACCAAACAGGCCCGTTTTCTTGCAGTCGTATCGACCAAAATAGCCACATTGAAAGCTATTTTGAGAGTCACAGTGACTCCACTTTTAGACCTAATCAAGAAAACAAACGTTACCACTCTCAAAACGTCTTTTGTGTGATTGTCTCGTGATCCTAATGCGGCTTTCGAAGAGACTGAAGAGCATGGACGTAGGTTGTGTGCACTCTGACGTCACCACTAGCTTGGTGAATGTGTACAAATGAAAACAATATCACACTTTTATCACCCTGTGTCATTCTCTATTTATAGATGTTGTGTATATATATATATATAGCTCTTTATCAGGTCTTTACGACCTGCTTCACATTCTACAAGTCATGATTCACCCATTCACACCGATTCATACAGAGCAATGTGCCACTTGCTCGAGAAAGATAGCATTCACCCACCATGGCCATGCCATCAGGAGCAACTCAGGGTTAGTATCTTGCCCAAGGATACATCAACATGTTGCCTGCAAGGCTGGGATCGAACCCACAACCTTCCGATTGATGGACAAGCCATACAGTCAAGGGTGTAACTTTGGTTTGAGAAGTTGGGGGGACACAAAATAGGGGTCCTCCGCAATGAAACATTTTCTCAATTTAATTCCATTTCCTGCCTTTCTACAAATATATTAGGGACTATAGTGTTAACAAATCCAAGAAAAATGTGTAGTGTATATAATGAGTGTGCACACTTATCTAGTATCCTATCCATGTGAACCTGTTTTATTTGAGATGACCTTACCTCCTGTTGGGGGGTCCGGGGGCATGCACCCCCGGGAAGATTTTTGTCTTTAAATTGAAGTTGAATGCATCAATCTGGTGCACTTTGAGGGCAACATTAAGAGATGTATGGATACAGCTCTCAACACTCAAATGAAACAGAACTGTATATATTTCAATACTCCAAAAAACATTAGAATATGCTCACAAGCAATAACACATCATTGATAAACTCCTCTCTATATCTTTATTTTACCTAGTCTGCATTCTTTCTTTTTATTTATGCATATTTTACTAATCACTCCCCTTTCAAACTGTGTTTTTTATTTTTGTACTGACCTATAGTTAGTACACATTGGAAGGATTTCTTAACTTATTTTATATACAACTAATATTACATAGATGGAAATATTTGTTTACATAGATGACCAAACCGTTTGAGACCCACTGAGATAATTTAGACTACAGTTTACAATCTAATCCCTCAGAGAGTCCTTTAGCTCACTGAGCGGACGTGATCTCTCTCAGTCCCCCAGGAGAGAGCTCTCCCTCTCCTTATTGTTGAGACAGCTTAGAATCTCCGTTAGCTCAGAGCTAGCACCAGATGCTAACAACAACCCACGTAACTCTCTCAGTCTCTCTCTCTGTCCCTCTGTCTCTCTCTCTATTTCTCTCTCTCAGTCTCTCAAAGTCTGACAGGAGAGAGCTCTCCCTCTCCTTATTGTTGAAACAGCTACTAATCTCCGTTAGCTCCGAGCTAGCACCAGATGCTAACAACAACCCACGTAACTCTCTCAGTCTCTCTCTTTCTATCTCTCTCTCACAAAATGCGCTCGTGCCACACACACAGACGCTCCTCCGTGACGAGGACCGCTTGCGTAAAAAATAAACACATTTGAAAAGTGGGGGGGACACAAACGGGATTTTGAAAAGTGGGGGGGACATGTCCCCCCTGTCCCCAGTGGAAATGACGCCCATGCATACAGTACATCATTAAGTGTACATCATATTACTTTATTGTTGCAGCTGGACTAATTTGAATGACTTTATAATATATACACCTGGGGAGCTCATGAATTTCCCCCTATCATCTTATCCTATTTGCTGATTTAATTTTTGGTATTATTAATCTAATTCTGCAAAGTAACTAGATGTATCAAGTAACTGCAGTAAATTAAAAGTACAATATTTACCCTGAAAAGTGGTTGAGTATGATTGAGCATAACATGGACCTACATAAGTAGCCCACTGAAGTACAGTACTTAAGTGTAAGGAATTTTGTAATTTTTCACCATAATAATAGCAATAATCATAATATTCATAATAAGCAAAAAAAGAAAGAATAGCACCATCAGCGTCCTGGGTTTCAAAAAGCTATTTTTCCTGAGATTTGTACCACTCTGGACTGTATACATGGTTCAATGTCAGCCCCTTGTGGTACATTTTGGAAGCAAACATCAACAAGTGGTTCTCGGATTAGAGATTATGTTTGCAGAGTAAAAAAGGACCATTCATTCTTGTAGAGGACTTCTCTACAGACTATGAGCTTGAGAAACATTATAATTACATAAGGACAACATTCCAGAACTCATGTTGAACACTATTGGCAATGGCACTCAGTCTCAATACTAAAATGAAATTTGGTTTTCAGACTGAGTGTCTTATCTCAACATATGATTTTAAAATTATTTATTGTTCTTTAAGATGAAAGCATGACATACAAAACGTCCCCATCCAGACATGTTTGAAAACATGAAGAATGTAGGCCTACTCTGCATTAATTAATAATTTGAAACTCTTTTCTACAAAAAGTTTTTTTCTAAAGAAAAAGTAAAATTTCCAAGTTAAAAGTTTCCAAGTTCACCTCTTTCTCCTCCCTCCCCATTGAACAAAATACAAGGCTATTAGTAGGATATTTTAAAAGTGTATCCATTGGGCACAAGATGTCTCTGAGTTCACTGAAAAGTAAATAATCATGCCTTAGTTCTTATTTGAAGTGAGCACAGAGGAACCTTCAGCCTTCTGTCAAACAGTATAAATTATTCTGCACAGTGAACCTCATAAACCCAAGATATGAAACAAAAAGAAAAACACATTTTGAGTGGTGGAGGACTGTTTGACAATTCAATAAGTCCAATGAAATGTTGTTTTTACTTCATCAAACTTGTATCCTAAATTCACAATATAAATATACATTTCGGAATAATAATCCGGTTAAATATGTTTTTACTTACAAGGAATGTCCTTTAGGGTTGGCCTATAAGTGCATAACAGAAACATAGAAATAGAAAAGTAAAATAATGAAATCAAGTCATAAAACATAAAACATAAATATAGATATATTTCAAATATATCTGTATTAATTATTAGAGATGTGGGAGGAGGGGTTTCACAGGTTAAGGCAAACGTTTAGATAAAAAAGTATACAAAAATAATGACAAAAATCTTTAAAATAACCGGAAAAAAATATATCAATAGTATACTTATTATGCGTAATGGCCTGCTTCACAATACTATATAATACATTTCTGGATTATCATTATTGATGCATACATGTTGTGGTGGCTTCCTTCCTTGTCTTTCCATCAAGCCACAAGACGCCTTAAACAGACAGTTCTAACTAGTTTCTTTCCTTTAAATTACTCACAGTTTGAAGTGTTGCTTGGCCTCCGATGGTTTAGATAGTTCACTTTAGTCTAAGTTATCTCAGTGGGTTTCAAACGGTTTGGTCACAATTTATGTAAACAAATATTTCCAAGGCACTCCTTTATAATTATTAGGATAAATAAAAACAGGTTTGAAATCATTCCAATGTATACTCTATAGCAGGGGTATTCAACTAAAATTCAACGAGGTCCAGTTAGAGAAAATCTCCCCATGCAAAGGTCCGGAACTTCAAAATGTCTAAGTTGCTTTATGAATTAGTGTGATATATATTGAAGTAGCCTGTAGCTTTATCAACGTCTGCATGTAATCAACAACTGACTGCCAATCAAATAAAGAAAGTACAATTCATAAACAACAATATTTATTGTCAATTAATATTGAACTATACAGATATACAGTAAAATACTGTGGATATGTGTGTTCCTCTCTGGCTGCATTTAAAAATAAAATAGGAGAAAATAAATAAAATAGCTTTTGAAAATATGTGCATCTTAACAGTGCTTAATTTGAGATAAATAAAATAAAGTGTAGCAGCAGCTTGAGTTTCCCTTTTTCTTTGTTAGGCGTTTCACATCATGACTTAACAGTTTCAGACGATTATAGATCAATATCAGTCTTTACACATCATGACAATTGAACAGTTTGAAAGTTTCTCTTTCTTTCCCTCTTATATTGCAGTCCCTCACTCACTTTTTTTTAATTCAGTGCGAGAATTGAGCTTGAGCTTGTCCTGCCAGGAGTTTAAATCTGGGCTGAAATGGTGTCAGGGCCATTCTCATACACACATGCAGGTGCTCATTGGTTAGCCTCGGTTAGCCTGCCCTGGAACGATATTTAGTTTTAATTTCGGGCTCTGAGACTGCTTATTTTTTGTGACCTCAGTTCTGACTTGAGAGGGAATGTTTGTCATAATCTCGCCTAGGGCACCAAAATGTCTAGGACCGGCCCTGAGTCTATAAAGTAAAGTAACTGAAGCTGTCAAATAAATGTAGCCTAGTGTAGTAAAAAGTAGACTACAATATTGGCTCTCAAAATATAGGGGAGTTGTTAAAGCAGCATACATTTAAAAAACTCAGGTTTAGAATAAGAACCAAAAAATGTAACTAAATTACACTATTTGAGAAAATTCAAATTCTTGACTACATTCCTCCACTGGGAATCAGGAATGAAGGGCCATGTGATAACAGGGAAGCACGGCACTGAGTTTGATTGTATAATCAGAGAGTGCCGGCTGGTCAAAAGAGGGGGGCGGGGCTGATCGTTTTTGGCTGGCTGAACAACAAAGTGCCCTCCGGGATGTTGATGAGCGAACTGCTAATTACTCAAATGCTCCATTGTAACTCTACAGTTACCCAACAGCAGAATGTACTGGTCATAATAAGTGTGGTTTATTCACTGACATTTCCTGTGTGAAGTGGAAGTTGGGTGAGGTGATACACACACACTCCCTGCTGCCTCCTCCAGCTGCTGGCCTGTTCACACATCTGTACTTGACTCCCTCCCAGGGCCTGGGAGGGACAACAAACAAAGCTGCCAACTGGGGTGGCAAGGCATTTTTCTGAGGTGGCAGCTGCCACCCCGTAGAACCGCCACTGTCCCAGGCTGATGCTCAATGCTCATCATCTCCTCCTAGATCTGCTCAGGTTCAGCTTCGTCATTGTTGGGGGTTCTCTTTTTTCTCTTTTTGAAGAAGTGTCTCCGCACCAAAGCAGCCACAACAGCTACTCGTACGGGTAATTTCCAAAAGTCAGATCTTGGTTGGTTCTCTGATTCTGCAGTGGTTCCCTCCTGTCCTGAGTCAACACCCAGTCCCTTGTTTCTCTGTGTGACTGGTTTAAATCCAGCTTCAGGATCCACCAACTCCATTTTACATCTCCTTTCTTATGAGGACAGGGCAGTGTAGCCTTCATGCCCGACAGCGCTGTTATTTTTTCAGGAACAGCTGAAAAGCAAAAAGCAGAAAGAAGTTACACATTTATGGACCCAACAGCCTTGACAAGCTGGACAATTGATTTGCTCATGGTGGTTTTAATTGATAGTTTTCCTATATTTAGAAAAAAAAACAGGCAAACCTAAGAAACAAGTTACATTTTTGTCCGTGCTAAATTCTACCGAAAGAGCCTGTTAACTAAAATGTTTTTATTATTTTTCTTTTTCATATTATGCTCATTTTCAGGTTCACATTTGTATTTTGTACGTCTACTGGGTGAATGTGTCGTCCTCTTCCTGTGGAGTGTTAAAAACATACTTTGAATCCCCGTGGACCATCACCTTGTTTTGCAGGCGTTGCAAGCGGCCAGGCATTTGCACACGGTGCTGCATTGGTCACAAGGCTGCATCACGTATGTAACTGTGCACTCTGATTCATTCCACAGGATGCCCATCATCGGCTGCTTTTCGAGAGGAGACAACAACGCCCGAATTAAGTTAGCATTAACACAACTATAGCTTTTTTAAAGTAATAGTTAAACATTTGTAAAGTACCTTAAAGTTAACTTGTATTTTTTGTGTGGCACGTTTTTGTAATCCGGGCATTATACCGATTTTGAGGATTTTTTTTTTAAAGAATCTGATATTCTTTAAGAAGTAAGAAATGTTCAGAAAGAAGGATCCAGAAAAAGTTGTCCTGGTGTCCGGCGTGAAGAGCTCATACACTTCCCTGGGAAGGTAAATGTTATTTTATTTGCTGCTCTGATAGTAACTGGAATCATTATTATATGTTAAACGGATTTTAGAGAAATTATTTCTTAATGGATATATGCGGTTATTTGACATTGTCCCGGATTATTTGTAGAAAACACAGTTGCTAATCCTTTGTTTAAAGATAAAAAAATACTTTTCTATGCCAGTAATGGCAGAGGAAACTATCTTTGCCCACGTTCCTTTGTTTGTTTCCACACGGGACTGGTCTGGGGTCTGCTGGTCTGACTGGCAGTGCGCAAACTGCACTTTTCTCTTGTCACCAATGATGGAAACGTCACACTTAAAAACACAGGGAGGTGTGCACTGTGCACAGATTATGAAGCACTAATATTTCAATGGATAAATTATCCACCTTATTTCTGTATGGCTTAATAACGGCTGGTGGTATTTACTTATGTGTATCCTGGTAGGTGGGCAAAACTTTTAAAACACTATTAAGCAGCTCCAATTTGATATGACTTCGATCTTTTTTCCGTTAAATCCTGTTGTTTCTGCTCCTTTGTCAAGTTGGGTTCAGCTGATCAAGAACCAGTTTTTTTTAAACGATATAATTATTATTCAGCTCACCATTTCCATCATTTGAAATGCCACTTAAAGGTAGTGTAGGTAAGTTTGAGAAACCGGCTCGAGATCGCTAGAATTTGAAAATACACAACCGGAGAAAATCTGCCACTTCCTTATAGAGTGGCGAAGTCCCTCCCACTTACTTCCGGGGTATGGGACCTTATTTCGGAAAAATTATGCATTGAAGTCAATGGGGAGAGAAAACTTATCTTTCGATCCCGTTTTAATTGTGCCATGAATTACACATATGATGTTTGTCAAACTTAAAAAATCATTTCCATGTCAAAAAAGTCACAGTTTGTCGTAAAACTGTTGAAATATAAGACTATGAAAAATACGTAACTAGAAAGACTACAAATCCCAGAGTCGCGTAAGTGATGTCACAATTGTTTACCTCCACCATTCAGATACCTAAGATCAGCGCAATATAGATATAATCTATCTATATGGCGCTGGCTAAGATAAGATAACTTTAACAAGATGCCTGTGTGCTTAGTACCAGGTTGTTATTATACCAGCAATGGGTCTTGCTCGTTCTTTTGCTTCCCGTCTGATGAAACGACCAGGAGTGGCTTGATCAAGTTAGCTACCTAGCTAGTAGCTAGCACGTTAGTTAGCATTACAGCCTTGTCATTTTTATTAGCCTTAACATGAAGTAACATTAAGTAACCCAAAATGTTAAACAGTAAGAGTAGTAGTCATATTTCGTGAACCCTTTGAATAGTACTGTCACCGGTGTGATCATTCTATAATACACCATTTAATTCCGGGGGAGAAATGCTAACGCTAACGTTAGCATCGGCGATCTTTTCTACTTCATGCTATCTGCACAAATGGTTGACATTAAACATTAAAACGACCAGGCAGTTCAGAGAGAATCAAAGGAAGGCAGGCAGGCAGCTTTGCATGACATTCTTCAGGACGTGTTTCATTGTGGTGATAGTCAATCGTTTGTTGACAAGACAGTAGTGACGGCCATCTTGGTGACGTGTGTGGTTGACGAGAGATGTAGTTCATTTAGCGTTTCACACAAACAAATGTGTTACTTCACAGTTTTACGGCACTTTTTTTTTTTTTTGACTTGCAAAATTATCTTTTAAATTGACAAACATCATATGTGTAATTCGTGGCACAATTCAAACGGGATCGAAAGATAATCTTTCTCTCTCCATTGACTTCAATGCATAACTTTTCCGAAATAAGGTCCCATGGGGCTCAACCGGAAGGGGAGGGACTTCGCCACTCTATAGAGCCCCTCCTACAACACACACGAACGCGCACATGACCAATGAGGGCACGAGATAAGTTTGTGCACAGATGGAAGGCTGACAGGCAGGTAGGCCATCCAGTTATTTTAGCCGGGCCGGCTAAAATGATTGGTCGTGCTTTTTACAGTATTACGGCTTCCACAGATTAATTTTTTTTTATGGATTTTTTGTCAAAGCACTTAAAGGACACCTATCATGCTATATTTAAATGATATATTGTAGGGCCATACCTATATAAGGTATATTTATAAGTTTCTGTTTTCAAAATACCAAACAGATCATGCATTTTAGCCATGCCTCATTTCGCTCTATGTGCTGTTTGCTGTCTACGGGCTGATTCTGTGAGCTGCAGCTGACCACGCCCCCCTGCAGGAGAGGGGAGCCATGCTCTGATCAAGTCAAGAGGGGGAGAAAAAAAGATCTCCGTCCTCCGTGTTTTATTATATTATAATAGGCCTATAGAGTCGTTATTCATTTGTTTTAAAGCTCAATAAATAACAAAGAAGACCTTTGACCGGCACTTTTCAAATTTTGTCCGGAAGATTTAAACTTTACATCTTGACCGGTGAAAGAAATTGAAACTGAAACTCTGCCGCACGGTCCCCTCGTTCCTTGGAAGAGGCGGAGAGGTGGGTGTTTGTCATCTGCTGGTGGACTAACCGGAGATAATTACAGTGCTTGCCTCGACGGGGAGGGATTGCATTGAATTAAAGCAGCAGAAGGAACAAACGCTTGCCTCAGGGAGGGAGAAAAAAAAGCCACAGCGGAGAATAAACAGAAGGGTAACCATGGTAACTATGGGCGGGAAGTCTTCTTCGCTGCTTTTGTGGCAGACTACAGCGCCACTTACAGGCCTGGCATATGTACTACAGCGTCTCCAGCGCTTTCGAGCGGCAATGGCCGGCCGTGGCCCAACCCCACATTCCCCTGATAGGTGGAGAGTTGGCCCAATAGCCGTAGCGCCACTTTACTGACGTCAGTAAAGTGTTCAAATCTGGATCAGTTTTTATCAGCTCCGTTGCAGCCCCTTTTTTAGAGATTTGGGTATGGAGGAAAATAGAGAGGGTTGTGTTTTCTGACACTTGGTGAGTTCCCTGGAACACCGGGGACACATATTCATGTATAAAAGACGTACAAAAGTGCATTTTGCATGATAGGTCCCCTTTAAGATATTCATTGCTATCGGGATGTTAAGAGCATTCTATGGAATATAACAAAAAGTGTATCTCGAGCCGGTTTCTCAAACTTACCTACCCTACCTTTAACCTTCCTCATTTCTAGTTAATGTTTTTTTTTTAGAATAAAAAAAAAACACTTCTCATATAACTTAAAGGGGAGCTATCATGCAAAATGCACTTTGTGATGTCTTTACATAAATATGTGTCCCCGGTGCGTCGGGGAACTCACGCAGCGTCAGAAAATAAAACCCTCTCTCTTTTCCTCCGTACCCAAATCTTTTAAAAACTGGTGTACAACTAGCGGATACAGATTTGCTGCCGATCTGACGTCAAATCGGCAGCGGACCCACAGAAAGTTGCTATCAGAAACAATGCCTGACGTGTTTTGGACGTAATCTCGTCTTTGTTTACATTAGCAAGCCTCGCTAACACTCAGAGCTAACCTGTACTGGAGAGCACATGTGTTTAAAAAGCAGGAAATAAAAAAAGGAACTCACCTTGTGATAAACCTGCAAGAGAAAAAGCATTTGAGCTCCATACTGTTTCAGAAATAATCTTTGATGTGGTTTAGAACAGGATGGTGTTTTATCACAGCAGAATGTAACTTTATCTCCGGTAGAATTCTGATCAGGCATTAGCTCCGACTCCAAAATCCGCGTTTCTCTAACAGGGCTGCAAAAGAGGGGTATGAGCAGTATGAGGCATGGCTACAATGGGTGAACTGTTTGATATTTTAAGCAAAAAACTTCACAGACATGTTTTGTATAGGTATGGCCCTACAATATATTTTTTCCAATATAGCATAATAGGTCCACTTTAAATGTTTTTTGGTTTCACATTAAAATGTTTCCTATATAGGGGCTTTGTGTGGATTTACAGAAAAAGCACTGCATCCTTCCTGTTATATTAATACATATGTTTCACTAGTAATGCTCAATAAGTATTAAAGAAATCTTGTTTAAATATCCAGTTATTTTATTTATTTTCCTAAACAATAAATAACATTTCACCTCTTCACGTATTAAACTGTTTCAAATTAAATGAGTGACCAGTTAATCAACAATAAAAAGGATGCACCTAACATTAAACTAAGCCAATTAGTGATACCTACATGCTGTTATTTTCTGTCAATTCACTGCATTCATTCTGAACTTTGATGTGCGTCCAGCGAGGCCAACCAGCAGGAAGCATTACAGATAGACATAGCTGGTGGCATCAAGCATTGCCATGACAACAGCCGAGCACAGGAGGACCGTGACCGAGAGAAGAAAGTGGCCAGGAGGAGATTGTATGTGGTGACTGTCATCTGCCTGATTTTCATGATCGGCGAAATCCTTGGTGAGTCTTTTTTGTTTTTCTCCCATTTAAAAAAAATCTTTAATCCCTTTCATCTTTCTCTACCTCTTATTTTGTTTTTGTTTTCCATACCAGCGTACATATGATGCCTTTTCAAACTAGAACACCTGATGCTTAGCTGTCTTAGCTAAGACGTTCACTCACCAACAGTAACATAAGGGGATATCTTTCTTTGTTTACCTGCTAGCTCCCTCTTCAAATCCCTCCTTTCCCAAATAGGTTTTAAGAGTTTAGGTACAGGTTATCTCTCATCAGGAAAAGCACATTATTTGTTTGCTGTTGAATAGTCCATTATTTGACGCACAAACGCTAACTGAACAGGACCACAAAGCACTTAAGTACTTATTTTTTCACTTAAAACATTTGTTTTTTGTGAGTTTTTAAAGAGCTGCACTTCCTATCCTATCAACTTTGTAGACATGGTAATACATTTTTGGATTGAATTTGATCCGGTCATTTATTCACTAAATCACATACTTTTCCTCAGGGACGTGCACAGACATTTGGAGGGGCTATTGCTCTAAACTGGAAAAAGGGCCTCCCCCCCCGAAAAAAAATATAAGACCAAAACGATTATTACATTAACTAATTTGAACAGTAATTCACATCATCATCTCATAACAAAATAAGCTAAGGCAACTACTTGCATTCGGTAACTTGATTTTTAAAATGAAAACCAGGGACATTTTTTGTTTTGCGGTCCATATCTCATTAAAATATCTAATGTTAGTAACTATTAAAGAAAAAATGGGGACAATTCAATGTAGTTTGACCATTGTAACTGCTGTGCAGACATACTGATAAAATAGGGCTTCTATAAGTACCTTAAATAAACTCACTAATTAATGAAACCAGTTCAATACGCATTATTCGTATTCTTATCATTATTTATGAGCGCAGTAACGGTAAGGTATCTAATTACTTATTTATTTAGTATTCCATAACTTAATAACAGAGATGGTCAAATTAAAGTAGAGACATGGCAGAAATCCTACAATGAAGCGGGTTAGTGAAGTGTTCTCCTGTGAGAGGGCGATCAAGAAAAGAGAGCGAGCGGCCCCGTTGAGGGAGTTTACGGAGCAGATGAAAAGACACAGAAAGACAGAAGCACAATAACAAGTATATGTAGGTGTTCTTTTGTAAATAACCGACGATGTCAAGAGGAAGTAAAGTCCCTGCCATGAGAAAACTCAAAATCCATTTTCTAAAATCCGACACTAGAGGTGGTCTTAACGCACCGGCACCAATACAGTAGCCTATAATACATATTATATATATAATACGTAACATGTGTGATCACACACTTAGCGATATAGAACATAAATAATAAAAACGTAGACCTACCTGGTTTAAAACACTTTTGTGGTCATACTGTGGAATGAGTTCACACTGAAACGAGTTCTTCATTCAAAATTTCGCGGGCAATTACATGTAAGAAGAAGTAAAAGAAGTAGTAGTAGTAGTAGTAGAAGAAGAATGAAGCTGGTGTGTTTCCCGCAGCGAGACACTACAATACTAATTGTGGGCTTATCATGTTGATTCGACCACAACAGAAAGAATAAAAAAAACCTCTCGCTCTCTCCAGAGGGGCAGGTCAGCCAAAAAGGGAAAACGGGCCGTTGCCCGGGCAACATTAGCCCGTACCTGTGCACGTCCCTGCTTCTCCTTCTCACTATAGTTTTCTCGTTTTTCCACTCTTGACCTTTAGTATTTCCTGTGTTTGTCTCCTTTCACTTCCTCAACTTTTTTCTTCTCTATCATGTGCATCTTTTTTTTATAGCGAACATATTCACGATTCCTTGATGGTATATTAAAATGACTTTTGGGAAGCCCTGACTTTCCCTTTAGCACCACCATCAGGTTCACATGTGTGGTTTTAAGTGAAATGTATCAACAACTATTGGATGGATTGACATGAAGTTCAGTGCAGTAGTTTATCTTCGCCTGAATATGTTTTAATGTTTTTAATGTACATTTTTATTTCTTAATTACTTCTCACACAAGTATCAATCTAGCATTCCAGCATTATAACGGTATGATATTGGGGTTGATGTATTTTCTCTCTTTCTGCAGGGGGGTATTTTGCGGGCAGTCTTGCTGTGTTGACAGATGCGGCCCACCTCCTTGCCGATTTAATCAGCTTCCTCATCAGCCTGTTGTCCCTCTGGCTGTCCTCCAGACCCGCCACACACAAGCTCAGCTACGGCTGGCATCGTGCAGGTGCAGTACTGACATTTATCTAGCAGAATTTTGTTTTCAACTTTATTTTTATTCATATTTTCAGACAAAAAGAGTGGGAAAGCATGGGCAACATATTAGTTACAGAAAAGTAAAATGGAGGCTTATTTGTTTTGGTACATAGTAACGAATATTCTAAAACTAGTGGAGACTTAAGACCTTCAGTGCTAATTCAATTGATTGTTGTAATAGGCTGCCCCAATATTTATTTGTTCTATTAATGCTTTTTCCTTACGTGGTGTTAATTTATAAAAAATGCTTCGAAGAAAAAGGTCAGATATTTCTTCTTTTATCCTTTCTGAATTTAAGTGATATAACTATTGATATTATAAAACCCAATTAGAGTGTTTGCAATACAATTTCTAAAGTTAAATAAATCAACACATTTCACAAAAGGATGTTTGAGGGTGCTTTTTTTAACTTCTCTAAATGTATCCAAATGTCCTACAATTTAAACTCTGAAACCAAATGAGATGCGATTCTATCAAAATATTTTGTAAATTATATTATGCCAGCTGTCCTTGTTGTCTGACATTATTCATTTGAAAACCTTTAATTGGAAGCAGCTTCCTGTCAGTATTTGACCACAGTTCTTCTTGTATTTTTCCTGTATTATGTTCCTCCTCATCCTCCTGCAGAGATCCTGGGGGCTCTGCTGTCAGTTTTCACCATCTGGCTGGTAACGGGGGTGCTGGTTTACCTGGCTGTGGAGCGCCTCATCAGCGATGACTTCACTATTGATGGCACTATCATGCTCATTACCTCCGGTTGTGCTGTGTTGGCTAATATTGTGTGAGTAAAACACATAGATATCATTTTTAATCAGCATGCAGTGTGTCTTTGAATTTTCATTATTTAATTACAGAGAGGTGACCAATACTTAATGTACTTTTACGGACTCTTGAGTGTTGCATTTCTGCATTAGTTTTATCATTTAAATTGTTCCTACCCTTGAAAGCATGGCCCTGGTGCTCCACCAGTCTGGACACGGCCATAGCCACGGGGGTCTCAGCTCACACGGCCACGGCCACAGCCACAACACAGGAAAGGGAGACAATCAGGTCTCAAACCACTCGCACAACAATGATAACCATGCCGACCTGGAGCAGAGCACAAGCGGTAATGGTAAGTGTCCCCAAACACAACTCATTATTTTTTTCTCTCAAATATATATGCTGAATGTGTATTGCAGCACTGTGGGGGGCACTACCATCCACTATCATAACATTATAATGGAATATGTAGTGAATTATAACCCAGTGTATAATTAATTGAATAGCATGTATCTTACTCTACCACTTTCTATCAGGACGGAGGGCTCAGCAGGACAACGCCAGCGTGCGAGCGGCCTTTGTCCACGTGTTAGGAGATCTGCTCCAGAGCATCAGCGTGCTCGTCAGCGCCATCATTATCTTCTTTAAGGTCAGGAGTCTCTCTGTGTTTCTCTCTCCTACTTTAAGATAAAGGTTGTAAATACACAACGACATTTGGGAAAAACTATTCTCTCTCTGGTAGAAGCAGAAACGGTTGTAACTTTTCTTAACCATCATTTCCTATCAGCATCTCTTAAAAATAATAATGAGGATAAAACTCCCCAAATGGAATCTAATAAACAAATAAAGCATACAGTACTGTAGCTCCCATTTATTCACTCAGGCATGAGTTTATCTTCAGATTGTCCAAGAAAACCCCGCTGTAACTCTTGAGAAATGTCGAACAACACAAGGGTCTGTGTGCAGGAAAACTGTAAGCCGTGTTTTCTGTCCACAAGCTGAAGATTTGTCTCTCCCCAGGCAGACATACACTGCTAAAACTATGAGCTTCTCTTGCATAAGAAATGCTTTATTAGTTGTCAACAGCCTGTGTCCTTTTAAGTATTTTTCCCATTACTGAAATAAATACTTAAAGGTGGGGTAGGTAAGTTTGAGAAACCGGCTCGAGATACACTTTTTGTTATATTCCATGGAATGCTCTTAACATCCTGATAGCAATGAATATCTTAAGTGCTTTGACAAAAAATCCATTAAAAAATTTCATCTGTGGAAGCCGTAGTACTGTAAAAAGCACGACCAATCATTTTAGCCGGCCCGGCTAAAATAACTGGATGGCCTACCTGCCTGTCAGCCTTCCATCTCGTGCACAAACTTATCTCGTGCCCTCATTAGTCATGTGCGCGTTCATGTGTGTTAGAGGAGGGGCTCTGTAAGGAAGTGGCAGATTTTTTCCGGCTGTGTATTTTCAAATTCTAGCACACTCAAGCTGGTTTCTGCAAAATTACCTACCCCACCTTTAAGCATACTTATCCTTTGATGCTTTGGCCAGCAATCCAATATAAATTATTCTGTGTTGTTTCTTTCAGCCCGAATATAAGATAGCTGACCCCATCTGCACCTTCCTGTTCTCCATATTTGTCTTGTGCACCACATTCACCATCTTGAGGGATATTCTTCTCGTCCTGATGGAAGGTGAGGCTCTCAGTCCCCGGCACTAAGAACATTGTCAACATAGTTTGTTAGCACTCTCTCTCTCTTTGTGCTTCCTCATCATTTCTCAAATTCTTATATTTTCTCCTTTTTTCATGTCCCAGGCACTCCCGGAGGTGTGAAGTACGGTGAGGTGCGTGAAGATCTGCTCGCAGTGAAGGGAGTGACTGCGGTCCACAACCTACACATCTGGGCCCTCACCATGAACCAGGCCTTACTGAGTGCTCACGTGGCCATAGGTGAGAAAACAATGCCAGGCTAAATGCAAACCTTTGAACAACTGTCTGCACCATTTAACTTGATATTACTTTTCAATTGGTGCCACAACCAGAAGAAGTCTAAACACCGTCAGTGGGTGTATCAACTAACTAGCACATTTTGTTCATATGAATTTGCAAGGAATTCTTTGAAACCGTCTCCGGGCTAAAATACAAAGGGGCATTAGGTTTTGCTCATACATATTGTAATGCCAACATGAATATAGAAATAATGACTCCATGCCGATGACAGCTGTGATATCTCAGGAATGCGTGAGGGAATATCTTTACATTTGGTAAAAAATGTCCACTTGAATGTACTGAGCAGATTTTGATGGTCACTTTGACCTCATACAGTACAACACGTTTTTGTCCATGACTCAAGAACTAAAATGCTAATTATGTCAATTTCACACATTGTCACATTTTACAAGATGAAGAAGTGATGACATTTTGGACAAACATGGAAGTAAACTGAAATTTGAGTGGTTGCATTTTTTTTTAAAGATGATCATTTGTTTTTAAAAGTACATTTGAAACCTTAATTAGAAAAGTTACTTGTAAAGCTGTCAAATAAATGTAATGGAGTAGAAATTACCTTTTGAAATAAAGCAGAGCGAAAGTAGAGAGCAGCAGGAAAAGGAAATACTTGCGTAAAGTTACTTATCACTAGTGGTAATGAGCACAAAGACTCTTTCTATTTATTCTATAAAAAGAACATGACAACCTCAAGGGCTGCAAACATGGCTTTTTTCTCGTTCTTCTTTGCCCTTGCTGAAACCGTTGTAGGCACACACATTTTCAACATTTACAAACAAGGTGACTAACATGTTCACTGACATTTCTTTTGACTCCCTCTCCACAGATGAGACCGTGGATGCTCAGACTGTCCTGAGAGAAATGACACAGGCATGTTACTCCAACTACAACTTCCACTCTGTTACAATTCAAATGGAGAGGCAGGCTGACCTGAAGCCAGACTGTAATCTGTGTGTGGAGCCCAAGAAGTAGCTACCTGCCATCATTATTGTATCTGACCCCAGCAGAATAAAGCAAATGCTGTTATGGTAAAAAAACCTTCAGTTCTGCACTTCTCCTTGGACCCTGAGGTATTTTACTGTGACAATATTGCCAAAGTCATATGACTGTGTCTTTAGTGCCTTTGTGATTACATTCCCAAATAACTGTTTTTATAGCATGTGCCTGAAGGAAAAGCAACCCTGCTCATGATTTAAATTATTTTAGAAGGGACATTCCCTTTTCACATGGTGCCCCATGTATGACGTTTTAACTTGTCTTTATATCCCTGTGTTGTCTTTGCTTTTAGGTGTATTCATGTCGATATAAATCTGTTTATCCTTTAAGAATCAATAACTGCTTTTATGATTGAGAAACTATTCATTTACACTTCTACTTACTGTCTTGAACGCACATTTTAAATAGTTTGTTTACCTTGTGAAGCAGTCAGACCGAGGCAAAAATACCCTTTATTTGAGCATTAACCTATTTTATCAATATAAAACATTGCACACAGTCGGGTATGTAAATATAGATCAATACATATTTCTAGGCATTGACTTTCACACCAGCAATCTCAGAAGTACTGTATGTGGAGAGAATCAAGTGTATTTAAAAAAAAAAAAGGTGTTTCCACTGCCTTTGATCAGTTGTAAGGTGAAATGAATTATTAAATACATTTCTTTTTCAAATATGTTGTATTGTGAATTTTGCTTTTGTAGTCTGATTTACAAAGTCATGAAATCCTTCACGATGAAGCACTGTATCACTGCAAACACCAACTCCTCTGTTGCTGGGCAACAAGCTAGCACATGGATGCATTGTCCCAAGGTCTTGAGGTTGTTCCCTGTTTACAGTCCCCCACCTTTTTGACCCTAAAACCAAATTGTATGCTGTACAAAGTCGGCCATTTTGGTGTACAAGGGTCCTTTCACATGTTTCTGACACTCAAGTGTTTACACCTCGTTTGGGTCTTTTATTTCGAAAATATCTGCCATTAAGCAGTGGTAGATAATTATACAGTTCATTGACTTGAGCAATGCTTTGTACAATATTGAGGTACTTGTACTTAACATTTTCCTTTTTTATGTTGCTTTATACTTCTATGCAACCACTTTGCCACTTAAATATAATTTTGTACTTATTTTTGTGAGAGCTGGAGCTGCTTTTCAGAAAAAAGTCTTACGGATAAATCAAATGATCAATTTATATAAGGGTATAAACCCATATCTGGCAGTATTTAAAGATACAATAACTTCATTGCCAGCTTTGGTTAATGTTTCATAAATAAGATTCAGACATTTAAATGCCTAAATGGCCTATTATCCCCAAGCCATACTTTTACTTATATTTTACATAACTACATGTTACTTTTGTAATTTGTCTTCAATCCTGAATGTAAGACTTTTATTTTTTATTTTTTTACAGTTTACAAATTGCATACCTGCTTTTATTTATTTGTATTCATTCTATCCACATTAGGGTATTCTTTCATTTAACATATTTGAGTTGGTGTTAATCCTCATAACACACAATGTTAACTCTTGTATCTCCTCTTGTAAGAACTTTTTTGTTTGTTTACATACTGTACTTTATATTGATGTGTTTTGGTATAAGAAAGTGCTTCATTCAAATCACTGACATACGTATTGAGAACAAGTACGGAGCGAATGTGTAGGCTTTTTACACAGATATTAAATAGATTTAAGTCAAAGGTAAATCACTCTCATTCACATGCAAGCAAGCTACCATGAAAGGTGCTCTCAATTTGGGAAGTGTCTTGCTCAAGGACACTTGGACATGTAAGCAGAAGGAGCTGTCCATCCAACCAACAACAACCTGCTCTAACTGACACAGTAAGCCACGGCCCTCAGTGAATAGCAAGTGCCTGTACTGTACATATTTATAAAGTATGTATGCACACCAGCCCCTGTTCTCCCTGTTACATCCCATTCATGCCGTTTATCCGTGTTTCTCATACCTTCAGCCATACTAATCCTCTCCTAGAGACTTTGTAAAGTGAAATTTGCTCTAAGCAGTTGAATGGGCTTTACATGCCGCTGCCTTCAGAGCAGACCATTGTACTCCCTTCTGTCTCCCTCTGAACTTAGCCCTGCAGGGACCAGATCAGTGTGTATTTAATTAAAGCAGGAGTAATGCACTAGGTGGCTAGATAATCCTGTTTTAGTCCTGATACCCCCTCAGCTAATAATTATAATACAGTTTCATCACAAGGGGTGTTATCTTTCCATTTCTTTTTGTTCTTTGCTCCCTGTTGCTTCCTCTCCAACCATTTTTCTACGCTCTCCTATTTGCTTTCCGTCCTCCATTCCCAACCACTTAATCTGTCGTTCTCCCCTCTGTCAGTGTCGGTCTCGCCCTTTTTTATGTTCAAGGTCCAAGCCCTTTCAGCATTAATGATACAATGCAGTGCCATCAGTTTCAAGGTAATTTGTGTTGTATGACATGTTTTTATATTCAAGAAGCCTTAAAAACATGCAGCGGCACATGGTGTCAAGCATTTTGCACAAGGGTTTATCACCTTGATAACACGCCTTGTGATGAACATAGGTCTTTGATTAAAGTTTTAGAATGTACAGAAAAATGATGTGGTCTACATTTTGTTTTATACTATATATAAATGAAATTGGAATTGTTTTTCGTCAGCTTGCCTTGATGTGATCAACACACTCACTCACACACTAATTTGTCTTGTCTATTCTGTAATATGAATATGATGTGTGAATGAACTTGAATGATAGATTTAAAACAAAAACAAATGTTTCTCACAACTGGGATATTCATCTCACAACCGGCCCCCACTCACTCTCCATACTCTCTCGTCCCAATTAAGCACAATAAGAAGACAGGCTGGATGATTATGGGGAAACTCATTCCCAAGTGGCATGCCTCAGTTGGTCAGGCTGTATACGACAGATGCAGATTGTAACGCTCATTCATCCTAACCAGCACTTATGCAATTAAGAAGTTGTGGGCAGTCAAGTGAACTAAAAACATTGCTTTCATACTGTATCAGTTTTGCATATTGCAGATAGGGTGTTTTTTTTTAGAGAAAGAGAACAATTAACAACGGTTGTTATTACCGAATATATGTTCCAGATAGAAGAAGTTGAAATACAGCCCCAAATTAGAATAAATAATGTAAATGAAGTAATAGGCTGACTAGTCTACTTTTCTGCCCCACTCAGGCCTAAAGGCAAACCTTTCCTTTTCCCTTGTAAAGCTCTTATTTGCAGGCTCTGTGAGTCAGAGCAGTAATTCTGCTGCATGGCAGAGCACATGCTGAGGAAGCAGCCTTGTACAGTCTATTTCTGACACCTCTTGTATTTCAAATTAATTTGAATTCGGATGGCTCACAAATTAATCCAAGCACAGCTATACTTTATGCAATACATGGATGGATGGATGGATGCATTGAATGATTTATTTATATAAAGGCTAGAGAGCAGACAACGTACCCGGGAGGATTTTGAATTAAGCCTTAAACTAAAAAAGTGATAATGACCCATGAGAAGCAATCATGTGGCGTAAATTGGCCTGAGGTATGAAGAAGGCAGATGTGTGTGACTTGGCTGTTATAGAAGAGTAGACCAGCACATGGCGCTGTTACCCTATGCAGCCTGCACAATCTGCTGTGCGCCTTGCTTTACCGAAACGTTGTCATTAATTTGAAATATTTGAAGGAAGGGGGTCAATTTCAAAGATAAACATGGTTTCACTTCAACCTGAAGGAATATTATATTTCAGTTTCTAGAGATTGTAATATATTATTTTATTAAAAAAATCATTACTAACTAAAATCATTTTTTCAAGTGGCACTTCTACTTCATTATTTACCGTAACCATCGTTTTAGGTGGTATTCTCGCGATATTTGATGTAGCTGAAAATCCTAGGAGCAGAGCAGGGAACTTGACATGTCAACAAAACAGATACATTATCACCACACAGGTAACATTACACGTTGTCTTATGTGCTATGAAATAAATATGAAAACTCACTGCGGAGTTGAGTTTCACGTCGTGCCGGGATAGTCAAACGACACACAGAAAGAAACCGAGCTGAAGTGCCGTGTGTAGAGTGACTGTCCACTTAGCTTTGCTGTCAACCACTCCACGTTAACATGGTAGCTAATTATCCCGTTATCACACTGAATGCTTTGGGTGTGGTACTGACAACATATAACAGACAGTACTGATGTAAAGGCACGCTTAACTGTTTCTGAAACCCCGCTACATAACTTATATTTCCGGCTATATCGTTAGCTCAGAGACTTTGTCAGTGTTGAATCTGTTTAGCTAGACAGCGCATCGTTTTTAATGATTTGTGACAGCTGTTACACTTGAGAGATGTAGCCTACTGCATTTCCTGAGTGTAAATTATGTTAAACATAATTAACTATACCATTAGGCTATGTCTGATTTACAGCTCTGTCTTTGTTTATATATTTTGTATACTTTAACTACTTGCATAACAGTTGATTAATTCGAATTTAGTGTCTGTTGACGGCAAATTCATATTATTTTATACATTACCCCTATATTTAACGTTTGCTGTATTTATTAATATTTTTCTTTTTACATGTTTTTCTATGCATATTGTATGATCATTGTTGGAAAGAGCCTGAGAAATAAGTTAGCCTCTTCATTGCCAAGAACTGATACTCTCTAATTGTTGTCATTATGAAAATAATGAACTTCAACTTGTCTATACAAGCTAAATGATGCCACTATCATTATACATTAATTGGGGCAGTTGCCACGTTATTCAGATATTTGCCCGTAAAACAAATAAAGTGTGGTTGTTTATGTAAATGCATCCACATTTCTAACTTCAGGGGCAAAAATTCCCCTGTGAAAAAGACAATTTATTATGTGACTTCTATTTTCATTTTAGACACTCATCTCATATTAAGGACAGTGAATTCTGTGACTCATCTTCTACTTTCTCCCTCCTCATCTGCATTCTCCTCTTCTTCCCCTGTGTTAAACCCTTCATGTAGGCATGTAATGGTGTGGAGGTGTGGAATAGCCTGACAGGTAACCTCACCTGGACCTAGATCCTCCACCAGGATCTTCACCTGCTCTATGACAACCCCTCCGCTAGTGTCGCCTTTTGGCGGGCAGCCCCCGCCGCCCCAGCTGCAGCAGCAGGCCCAGGCAGCACGGGATGTCAACACGGCCTCGCTGTGTCGCATTGGGCAGGAGACGGTCCAAGACATTGTCCTCAGGACCATGGAGATCTTCCAGCTCCTCAGGAACATGCAGGTCTCTCTCTCTCACTTTGCTTGAATTCCTGTCAAATGTGGTTACAGCCCCCCTTCAGATCACAATTTGCTCTCCTTCTGCCTTTCATGTTATTTGCCTTTTTCTGCCAAAGCTTCAAAACCCTTACAAAACCCTTAATGCCCTTATTGCAATAGCATGAGAGAAGTAAAAACAGAAACATGGTGACACACTGTTAACATAAAATATTAAACAGCAGAATGTAATCACAAAAAGCAAAACAGTAAACATAATAATAGGTCTTATGGTTAATAGCAAAGCGCTATTATGCAAATAACAAAACAGCTGTCATTCAGGAAGGCAATTCTTTGATGTGTTTGGATGCAGGATTATAAAACAAGTCAGTGCACGCAGAGTGAATAGTAAAAGGAAAGCTGTTTACAAAGGCGAGACATCAGTACAGCCAAACCGCCAGAAGCTTAATCAGCTCTTTGTAAACTTGGGATCAGCTCCCAAGTGGATTTATGGGACAGAAGAGAGTATCAATTTCTTGTAATTTGGTCCTTATATGGATTGTTAAATAAGCAAAGAAGTCCAAATTATGTGTAATTTAGAAGAAATTAAAATCAGAAGCGTATACATGCAGAATTCTGCTCAGGCTCAGATTTAAATTGCTTGAAGAAAGAACACATTATTGTAATTTTTACAACCTCTATTCTACCAGGGATGTCATTAATAATACATTCTTATTCACAATAGCAGCCTTTCATTTTGGCAGTTACAAAATGTATTTTGGCGAAGGATAAAAAAATAGGTCTAATTTTCTTAGTATTAATGATTTACTAAAACATGATCACTGTCACAAATAACACGTTAGTAATAAGTTGAGAGCCTGATGATGAGGGCTTCAGAGTTTAACGGCATCCAATACATATTCATTGAAGCCAGATATTTGTAATAAAAATGTTGGCTGAGCAATGCATAACAGTAGAGTTGTTTGACCAGTGTTGTCAACTTAAGATAGGAAATCCACACTAGCTAAACAAGAGTTTTTTCTCTTTGGTATTCAGTGATTTCTCTTGGTTGAAGGAGTACTACAGTACTTTATATTTATATTGTCAGAATGTAGAAAGTGCTATTTTATATAAAGATCCACAATCAAGGCCACAAACTAACTTTACGTTGCATATATTCATACGTTGTTAGAGATACGTATCTTTTGGAATGGTGGAAAGTAGCAAGAATGACATTAAAAAATTAAGCTATTGGACCTTTTGGGTATTATATTCAGGATAATGGAAGTATTTTTTATCAGTTCACATGTAGTTCAGCTCTGACGGTGTCCTGAAGGCGAGGTCAGCATGAGTTCGTCATGGATGTGCGCGCTCCTCCTTAACCTTGTTAAAATCAGAGACGGGCCAACAAGCTCGCCTCCGCCACAGAATACACAAACAGCATTGTTGTGACTTTTTCTGATCGCAGGTTGCCTTTATACTAAAATTCTTCATTTCTCTTCTCTTCCCTGCCTCTCTCCCTCTGTCAGTCTGTCTCCCTGCTGTTTCTCTGACTCTGTCTTCTCTTTGCTTGCCCTGAAGGCAGGCTTGTTTCATGTTATGTAGGGTGTTTATAATCAGACAGTGTTGCCCCAAAGGCTTGTCTTGTTTTTCTTTAACACCCGTTGTAGTCAGAAGACAATGATGCCGCCTCAGTATGAGACTTAGTAAAACATTTTAAAGTTTATCAACTAAAGCATTTAGTATTTGATGTAGCTGAGTTGTTTGCGTGATTTTATTTTTATTATGAAAACCACTTACCATATTTTTGCGGCATGTGGCGTAGTGGGTTGTGCGCATGTGTTCGGATCAGGGGGTCACAGGTTCAAACCCCACTGCAGTCAGCATGTCGTTGTGTCTCTGGGCAAGACACTTCACCCCAAATTGCTCCTGTGGGGATTGTCCACAGTATTGAGTATGTAAGTCGCTTTGGATAAAAGCGTCTAACAAGTAACATAAAATGTAAAAAATGTAATGTTGCATAAACACAATGTAAGAATAAACGTATTTTCATTCAGTGAACGTTCATCTTCCCTGCATAAGTACACTGCTTCTAATGAGATATTACCAGTTAGGGGAACAACAGAGGATTGGAAGTGCATTTGGCAGTCAGGAGGGATCAATGACTGTTTCTTTTTATTAGCTCAAGCTAAATTGTAGGGTTGTGCTTTGCTTAACACAACGTTTTCCTCTGTGGTGATCCTCAGCTGCCTAATGGAGTCACTTACCAACCCAACACTCACCAGGACCGGCTGGGGAAGCTCCAGGAACATCTCCGGATGCTCTCTGTGCTGTTCCGCAAGCTGCGCCTCGTCTACGACAAATGCAACGAAAACTGTGCCGGAATGGAATCTATTCCTCCAGAGGTGAGACATTGAGACACTGGTAACATTTGACCTAATTTTCTCATATCGATTTGATTAGATGGCAATTGTATGTTGCCAGTTTGAATACAGGTAATATTTTGGATACTGAAGTGTTATTGAGAGTTCTAAAGTCAAAGAATCATGTTTAATGTCAGTTGTTTTTGTTGTGCTAATGTTTTGCTCTTTAGGCTTGGTTAGGCAGCATTGGGCAAAAAAGCCATTATAAACTTTGAGCATATTGTGATTCAAATGGTACACCAGAGGCCTGTACTACGAAGCTGGTTCAACCTAACCTGGATATGTTTGAGTTAGCCGGTTGGCCCAATCCAAAACATACGCGCTCTGGCTAAACTGTACTACGACGCTGGTTATCAAGTGGATCGCTCAAGCCAGCCGTGTCCTATCTAGTTAGGTGCACGTTCACATGAAAGGGGTGGTATTTGGAGCATTCGACCAATCTCAAACATGGACAAGCGTACTGACAGCGCAGCATCATACTTCCTGAATGAAAAGTGAACTTTAATATTAGTCAAATATTAAGAAGTTAAACTTTAAACATCCATGACTTAAACACTTTATCCAGAATAAAAGCCACATAGCTGCACCTGCAAGGTGAATACAGCTGGTAAAAGAAAAAGTGTTTGAATGCGTACATTAACAGGTTTATGAAATCACTGCCCCGTCCAAGACACGAGTGGATCTGACTTTAATTAGGAGAATTTGACTCGAGTGTTTCGTCAACTTAATGTGTTGCTTAAAATAATACTTCTGCATACAGTAGGCTATGTGACACTGTGAGTGTTGCACGGCCAGATACGGCTCAAGAAGCTGACTCAAATAAGGAAATATATGATACATTATGATGTGATATGATATGAATGATAATGGGACACATCGACGTCTGCACTCACAGTGCCGCGGACTGTACTTAATGTCCGGTTACTTATGTCGTGGCAGATATTTAAGTAAGCTTTCTTAACGCTAATATTATAATAGTCAGATTGCTCTGAAGATGGGAGGGGATATTCTATTAATGTTCACGTTCACGTTCACACAGTCAGTTGATTTTTGCCGGCCGTCGTTCCTGCAACGGCAGTTTTTCTGTATTTCCTCTATCCTGTAATATGACTCGCTTTAAACTCCGCACACTGAGCTCTGATTGGTCAGCAGGCGGTGCTTTCACTGAGTTGATCTCTTAGCCTGCCACCTAACCTGCTCCGGAGCAGGTTTGCCGCTCAGCATAAGTTACCATGGAAATCTAGCCCGCTAAAAAGAGAACCAGCGTCGTAGGACCGGAAAGCCCGAGATTTCCCTGAAGTTAGCCGGCTAAGCGAAAATCCAGCTTCGTAGTACAGGCCTCTGGTTAGTCCTTTTTTAATAGAAAAAGGCAAAAAAAAGAAAAGCCAGAATTTGAAAGTACCTCATCCTGCAGTTCCCCCCCTCTCTCCATGCGCTTCATACGGTAACCAGCTAAACTATTAGCTTGAAACATGTTACCCTCTATTTGAAGTAATGTTTGTCTTTGTTTCACTCCATTGTATTTATTTAAATTGGAAAGGCAAAATGAAATATAATATTGCAATAACATAGAATTAGGGAATATATTTATTTGATCTTATTGGGGTTTTTACCTTAAAATAAATTGTGATTTTATAAGGATATTGACCCCCTTTTATTTTAATTGACATTTAATTACAAGCTTTGATTGTAACTGAATTGATTTGTTTTAACAGGGTAGTTTGGCAGAGCAAACTGTCCATGTCCTGTTAATAGTTTAGCAGAATAATATTAATATAGTATCAAGAACAGACAGAGTCAACAAATAAAACTTTGATCTGACAGTTAACGAGGTTCATGCTCAGCGAGGACAATACCAGACAGGCAGAGAACATGCTGTATAACATAAAGTTATTTAAATGTAACTTCTGGTGGTTAGATAAGTTGGATTTGAATCCTACCTCACATAACCTTGAATCGAGTTTTGATGCATACACCTACTGCACTTAGTTCTTACTGGATGTGGTTGCAATTGCTGTTGCGTAGTGCTGGAACTTTTATTTAGACGTGATTGATTGATCCTTCCAGATGCGAAAAACGTTGAGTCGTGCTGTATAAGCTTGTCAGGGTTTTTGTTTGGTGTGCTTGCTTTCAGCCACTGCCTCATATAGCCCAGCTTTTCACACAAACTGCCTGCTAAATTAGGAAGGTGTTAGTTTAAAGGAAGTAGGCCATAGTTACTGCATCCCCCTCCCCTCCCCCTATACACACACACACACACACATACACACACACATACACATACACATACACATACACATACACATACATACACACACACACACACCCAGGGGGACTCTTATCTAACCTACTCCCTCTAGGTCTGTCTCTTTTCTCCGCTCGCAGCAGATTCATTGGTCGCTTCAGGTGAGTCTCCAGGGTCTCTTTACCGCTGGTTACGGTCGCCATCCACCTTCAGGAACAGCAGCACTTGAGCTCAAACACACTCCTTTCTGCCTGCCTGCTCAGACACACAGAAATACACATGCATGCACACTATTGTGACCCACCCAACTTCATATACACCATGTAGACATGCATGTGGCCCACTGTAACATGTCACAAACACACATAGGCTCATGCACTGTTAGGGTCCATGCAGGGCTACAGCGAGGCTATCCACCAGTGTTTGATTGGATTTATTACTGCGGCAGTCCCTTCCCAATTTCTGCAGATTGGCTCGGAGCTAATCTCCCTCACCAGACTCCTACTGAGGATAAAGGAGGATGTGGGAGGAGACTGTTCTTAAATTGGAACACATTTGTGATGCTTGCCATCATGGACATTATCCACATTGAATAATACAACCGCTCTGAAGCATTTCTTATGGTCCATCCACTGGTTGTTGAGAGTGACCCTCTTTTGCAGTTTCGCCTCTAAATCAAAGCCTTTAAAGGCCACCTGTTATGCAAAATCCACTTTTTCATGTCTTTTATACATAAACATGTGTAAAGAGATTCTGAAAGTTTCAGGAAAAAAGATTCGCTCACTTTTTGTCCTGATCCATTTATATAAAAACCTGTCTGAAAATGAGCTGATCAGAATTTGGCCACTTTATGATGTCATAATGATTTTTTGGCTTGTGTAACCATTAGCCAATAACCAACCAAGGTAACCCCCCCCCCCCCACACCTTATCACCTGAAACTCCTCCTAATCAGTACTTTTGAAACAGGGCTGAAACAGAGGGGTTCATGGGATGCTACAATGTATGATCTGTTTGGTATTTAGAGCCAACACCAACAGAGACATGTTTTGTATATATCTGAGACCTATAATATATTGATGAAAAACAGTATAATAGGGGACCTTTAAAAGGCCCATTTTGACATGTTTCTTTGCTGTAATGGTGTAAAACCGCATTGACTCATTACTCCACCTCGCTATTTTCCCCTTCTTATTTTCACCTTATTTAAATGTTTATTCATTTCCCCTCCAGGCTGAGGCCCGCCCCGGGGCTGACCAGCCAATAGCTCAGCTCACCGTGTATGTCTGGGTTGTTGATTTTGGCTCCGGCATGCACGCCATTTATCATCCCGCAGAATTCAGGTGCCTGCCTGACAGCCGCTCACTATTGGCTGCCCGAAACAGGAAGTGGAATCAATGACTCAGGCAGTGTGACCTCATCGCAGCCTAATTAGCAACAGACCCGTTTAATGAACAGCTGGAGCAAATGCACACGTCAGCGCTTTCCCCTTTTTCTTTCCAACTGTCGTTTTTTCGCTGCCCCGTTGCAGCTTTTTCTTCATCTTTTTCCCAAACTCTCACACTCTCTGCATCCCTTTTTCCCTCTTCCAATAACCCTTTTTTACTTCTTCTTTCTATTTTTTTCCTCTAATATATTGGCTCTCCTCATTTCCTTATTTCTCCCTCTTTTTCTCGTTCTTGTTTTGAATCTATTTATTAATGTTGGCTTTGTTTCACTCTCTTCCTCTCCAGCTCTCTCTTCGGCCGTTCCATTTTCTGTGTCATGCAAGTGTTCCTCCCCTCTGTCATTTCCTTTCTGTTCAGCCACGCTTTTTCATTTCCCTCTCCTCTTACCCCGCAATTTTGTTGTTATTTTTTTTTCAGTTTGTCGTCTACCCTTTTCGTTTTGCCTCAGCCAGGCAACATGGAGAACTTCATTAGCCCATTCTTCTCTGTCAGGCAGGACACCACATCCATCTTTCTGTGGAAGAGGCAGGGGTTATGACTCACACAAGCACAAACACACACACATGCACACACATACAGACACACAATAATACACTCTCCATTTGTGTTTCCCACCCTAATCAGCATATTTCATTTTCCCCTCAGAAGCTGCCAAATCAGCCCGCTGCATTTCAAATTCAATATGTCATTGGCTTCGATCTGAAATTATCCACATAAAGACGTTCTGCTTTTCCTACTTTAAGTTTCCCCGAGCCAGAGACAAGCTCATAGTTTGTCTGATATAATGTCCCGCACATGTCTTTGCTGTCTTTTCTCTCTCCAACCTTCAGTTGGAGTTGCAGTTTGGCATGAACCTCGGCCTGGAAACTGACAAGAGCACAGAAAGTTATCCAGATGTTGACATCTTTCTGTCGTTGTACTTCTTACCCTCTTTTCTCTGTTTGTGTTTTTTTTCTCTTGCTCTTGTTTCCACCCGTCTCCCTGCTCTCCTGCCCATCATCCTACAGTCCTTTCCTCACATTTCATCAGTTTGTCTTCATCTCTCTCCCTCTGCTTTCATTTTTTTTAACTCCATGTTATTCTTGACGTTGGCCGGCTCCAGCCTTACTCAAACACCAGTCAGTCATTACTTCCAGACTGAGCAGCTTTCTCAAATCATCGTCTAGTGTCCGCAGGGCCTCCTCTCCAGCTGCACAACCTCAGGTCAAACCATGTAGAAAGGCAGAATAATATCAGAAACTTGGCATGATTTAGATCACCATCTTGCCAAGTCATCATTGAAGCAAGGTGTGTTTTCAGAGTATACGGCAGTTTTTATTGGCTTCTAGTTTTTTGGAGTGTTTCCCACCTAATCTGTGTTTGTGATCTTGTCTGGTATGATAGTATTTGTTTGGAGAGGAAACTTTGGAGATGTTATTCTGTCCTTGCAACAGGAACTCATTGCTTCCAGTCTAATAAACTACTGAATATGTTTTTGCAGCTTTATTAGAAACCCTCTTAAAAGTGGCGCCATAGGTCTGAACATTTTGAGAGTGTTAAACTATAAAATTGACTTTATGTCAACATAACTGATACGCTACATTTCCTGGAAACTCTGCACAATAGCGCAGACATTTATCTCCATTTACACTTTGTGTCCATTCAGCAGCTCCACAAAGATCATCAAGCTTATCATCAATCACACATTCTTAGTGTAAGACTTTTGATGTCCTTTAGGTACGATTGCCCAGGAACAGTGTGTTCTCAAGTCATCCACGCATGACTTGATGTGTCTGCAGTCTCCTTCTGTCTGAAGCGCCCACTGGGGGGCAGTATGATGTAAAGCAGCAGGCGGTGACCCTGCCAGCTCTCAGGAACGCCGACTCGCCTGAAGGTTCACGCACATCAGCCTCGCTGTAGTGTCAAGCAAAGAAGGTCAAGCACACACAGCGTTTAAAAATGAATTAATCTCCCACTCGTTCTCTCTACTGTCTCTCTCCACGTTGAAGAGAGACGGCTGAGACTCAGCCTGTGTTCAAGAGCTTACACAGAATCCCCATTTTCACCTCACTTCATGGAGACGAGGTTATCAGACAGCACAGGGAAGCCTTCAGTGCAGGATAGCAGTTACAGGCCGAGCTTTCTCATACGCACATAGCTCTGACCTATAAATGCACTCAACGAGCATATAGGGAATATGTGTATCTGCAGCACCATGCTTTTAAATGCATCATGGCAGAAGAAGAGAAGGGAGGAAGACATACAGTCCTTCACAACCTTTCTTGAAATGAAGTTGACTGCCACTAAAGTAAAACCGCTATGATTTTACAGTGTAGATGCTGTACTACTGTAATTGAGAAACCCAATCCAAATCAGTTGTCAGCTTTTCCGAAGTGATCCTCTTGCAGTCGTATTGTTTTACAGTCAATAATATAGCCGGATTGTTGTTTGCTGTCTCTCTTCCAGCAACTGATACCCTTTGTGGAGGATGACAACTCCAAACACGAGGATCGCTCGGCCGGCCAGAGCCGCCCCCCCCACCGAGGAGAGGAGAGAAATCCTGGAGGTCAACAAGGTATTGTGTTCTGTTTCTCAAAAGCACAACACTGTATGGGTTACAGGATTTATTCCCAGCTTGCGGTAAGTAAATGAAAAACGTAGGGGCTGATAAAAATAAAAAGAGATCGCAAGATTTCTATCATAGCTTAACATGATGTTGTTTCAGATAAGTGAAGTTTAAGCTCACCTCGGAAATTCATGCGCCCCCAGACATTTCAAATCTACCTGAGCTTAAGGGAAAAAACTCTTAACATCATCTCAAAGATAAGAAAAATAATTAAGCGTGGAATTCATTACGGATTAGTAATTTTACTCTACATCTTAAACCCTTAAGCCTTAATAGCCCTCTTTTCATTTTTTGGGTAGCAACCATCCAGATTATGAAGCTGTGGTTTCTACAAAACAAAATTGAGAGGATATACTCGATACACTTTACTGTTTGTTGACAGAGTGCGTGTGTATAAAGGGTTCAATATGCTGGTGAAAAAGGCAATTCTGATTTCCAAAGGACTTATTTGGATGTAGATGCATTTAGATTCTTTGCTGGTGGTAAAAGGTCTTTAGTTGCATTTGAATGACACCTGCCCAACTCTCAATGGAGGTCACTGAAAGTCAGAACGGGACATGGCACCAGGGGTGGGAGGTAGATGCTGAAGTTTCTGGATGTTGTTTGGCTAGCTTACTCTAAACTTGCTTAAATACATATTAGTGAGTACCTATGGACTGGTGTGATGGTTCCCAGTTTTAAAGCGGACCTGAGAATGTGTCCCTGTTTTTTTTTGTCTCTTCATCTCCTTAGCCTTTTTAAACCGTGAGCCTTGCTTAACCTCAGATTTGAGACGTGGATCACAGGGTATCCTTCGCTGTCATCAAAATAAATGGTTACATATTTTTTATATACCATATGCTAATAGACAGGGGTGCACATAACTGGTACGCATGCACGGCAAACATCTGAAATGCGTACCGTCACTTGTCTCACTAAGCGCATTTGCGTACCGGAGGACTTGTGAAGCATTTCCAGAAGGCGCTTCGATCACTGGACGACAGAGCCGGTCGCCGTGCGCACAGACGGGGCTGCTGTTAACGTCGGTGTGTACAACGGAATTGTGCCACAACTTCCGGCGCGAGTTCTACACGCTTGCTCCACTAGCGCCCACCCCCACCCCTCCCGTCAACGTTCAATACCACACCCCCACCGCCCCACCGGTACCGGTACAAATTCTAGTATGTGTCAGTTTATAATCTAGATTCTAGAATATGAGTATAATCCAAAAATTCAAGTGAATGCGTTTTCCATTAGCTACAAATAGCCGACTTGAGCAAGAAAGCTGCTGATGGTGTTTATATATTAGCAGAAGGAAATAAGAGTTGACTTTTTTCATATGTCATGAGGTGTTCACTTCCGGAGTGGCGGACATCAAACACATCTAAGAGCTTTCGGCGGACATCAAACACACCTAAGAGCTTTTTCAAATGTATTCACTGTCAGATATGTTTTAGCCCAGGTCTAATAGAGGCTGCTTTACGACACGCTGAAGTGCAGAGCAGAGAGCTTTTCTTCAAACTGACACGCCACGTTGTCAGTCAAAGTCTCAAAGTTTGTTGGAGAAAGATTTAATCCTGAGTCATGGCTTACATGCTACTGTAGGGATAAACAAACATGAAAGCGCAAAGAGAATCATTAATTAAACATATCCACGATTAATAAACTAAGACAAAATTGTGTTGTGGATGAGGCTGTGAAATAACTAATCCTTAACCAAGCTGCACAATCTTACAAGCATTAAGTGTTATATTTATTCTAAAAGTCACAAGTCCTTTATTTTTCGACTGCAGTGGTAGCTGTGTGTAAAACCAATGGCAGAAATATTATGTCTTGATTTGATGACACATTTTTGATGAACAATTTCCTTTCAATGCTAACCTTGGTAAAAAATACATTAGAGTTACTGTGAATGCTTCAAAAGAAAAGCCACCGCGTGCTTTGAATGATTTTAAAGCAGCAGCAGTTAAAATGGTATGGTTTGCATTTGTAGTAATCTGAAGGTATAACAACAAACTGTAATGCAGGATTCATTCATGCATCTCTTCTTGGGAATCCCTTGTGCGTAGTAAGGCAATTTGAATCAAGCATGGTAATGATAGTCACCGCCACTCACAATGGAAACTACAACATTGACGGGTAATTACGGCACTCTAATAATGTACATTGAGTGGCTGTTGCCGGAAATTGTCGACCACAGAGACAACCAAAATGGAGCGTAATTTCATGGAAAAAATAAATGATAAAGATAAGGTTCAAACTTCTGCAAGTGGAATGACATTAGTGTTACATTTGAGGTACAGTGTTTAAATGTTTCAATAGCTAGAATTAAGGCAGAGCGAGACAAATAAATTCAAATACACATTTCATTTATATAGCCCACTTACAGCCCAGTGAAATCTCATAAAGGGTGCACCGATGCATTACAGATACAGATACTGATAACCTACTTACACTGACTCATATAGCTGGATAACGTATTGGTGACAATGTGGCCAATCAGGGATCAGATTTAATTAAAAAACAACAACTACCAGCTTATGTTTAAGTATTTATTTACTACGTGTTGTTTCACAAAGTTAGAAAAGCAATATATGAGTCAAGTCTGATGTTACATTACACATCTTATAATAACCACTGGTATTGTATGTATTGTAGTTCTCAGTATGGGTTAACAAAATAAGAGAAACACCAATACAGCTCTACAAGGAGTCACATCTTGACACAGTATTGATTCTTAGTGTATTATTATAACAAATAGGTGATATCAGCAAACATGTGAGCAGAGATGGGGTCGTTACTAAATAAAAGTAATATATTACATATTACATATTACTTTAAAAAAAAAAAAGTAATATATTACACTACTTCGTTACTCTCTACATAAAGTAACTCGTTACTTTACTCGTTACTTTACTCGCAGGGCCGGCCCGCCCCTACAGTGTAAGCGAGCCACAGTTTTGCCTCTGCGAGACTCCACTTGCACCCCCAATTACTATTGCAATAAGGAAGACATAACACAAGTCTTTCTTTTTATATGCTCTTTAATAAAATAGGCTACCAGCCTACCACAACAAGCTTGCAAGACAGCTTAGCATGTGTTCTTTGCAGGTGTTTGTTGAGGTTTGACGTGGTGTTTACAGCAGTGGATAACAGCTTCTGGCCTGGACACAGTTTGCACCTCACCGTCACATTCCTGTCTATTCTTCGGACGAACTCAAAATAATGGGCATACCTCCACCCCTCGAAAGTTATCGCTGACTCAGCCATGTTTATACAGCACTGCACGTGGAGATGTGGACGTGCAAGTCGCGCAGATTACGTACATATAAACCTGCGGCGGAAACCCCTCTTGTCTGTCAGTGTGATTATGACTGATTTTATAAAAGTAACAAAGTAACGCGTGTCGGGGCAATGTTAGTAACTGTAGTGTGATTACTGAATTATAAAAGTAACGCGTTACACTACTCCGTTACCGACAAAAGTAATATTATTACAGTTACTTTGTAACGCATTACACCCAACTCTGCATGCGAGTGCATGTGTTGAAGTGTATGTCAATGTGGGCTGTGTTTCCTTTTAAAAAGCCAAAATTATGTTTGTGTTTCTGCACGACGGTACATGTTGATCAACTAAAACGCAAGTTGTTGTTGCAGATAGAGAAACTGTAGGAACTTGACCACGTTTTAAAGATGTTCTACTTATATTAGGAATGCTGAACAAAGAAAAAGGCAAAAATGAATGTTTGAAGATGTGTTATTTTGTCAAACTGCTTCACAGCCTTGCTGAACTGACCACTGAAGCACGACACATGTCATCTTTACACTGATCAACGCTGCCTCTTTTGGCATTCACCATGATAGATTATTTTTGAGTCCAGGATTAGGTTTAATCTCTCTCTGGGAATCGGGCCCATGAACATGACATTAAAGCGCTGTGTGCTAATACAAGTCCTGGGTCGATGAAGCCTAAATCCTGCATATATGAAGGTGAGGTATACAGCCAGGAGTCAGGCACAATACCTCCCTGGCTGTTCCCATATATCAACCCACTACAGTGTTATGGACAGTGGAGCGTGGCAAAGGTTCAAGTAAAACACATCATGCATTATTTAGGAGGCCTTTTTACCTTGCTTCGTCTGTCATGGATTTCTTTTGTTTGTGTATACTGTATTTGTATATTGAGTGAGAAAGCGCTTTTGTTCTTTCTTCAGAGAGAGAAGATTGTGTTTGCATTTGCTTTGACAGAGGCTTTCAGCGTGCACGTGCTGAAACCCCTCTCTGTTTCCTCTCTTTGTATGTGCATTGTGTTGGCTCGGGACAGATTGTTCATGCCAAGGCTTCTGTGTGTGCTGCAATGATAATGGGCCAAGGTCAGGAGTGTCAGCCGCAGAGATGAGAATTGGTTATTTTTAAGAGAGCAGCATGGCTCCCCTGGCTGCTTTTAAATGTTAACACTACAGTGAAACATTGCAGTGAACCCTGCGCTCAGCTGCACTCAGCCCCATCGAAAACAAACTGCATCGCCTTTTCACACAAAGCTGAAAAGAGTACGGTAAGAGCCTGCTGATGTTGTGGTAGATAAATAACCAAGTGCCTATTCCAACTCTTTGAATTCAATACTGGACTGAAATACAGAAATAGGTTTTCAGGATCAATGCAAGAAAATGATTTCCTCCGTTTTCTTTTCAGTACATCAAATACTGAACTCGGAAGTCAATGTTATTGTGTCCTATTAGAGACCTGTATATGGCTATGATAAATAAGCTTGTCTATAGAATGACCTCCTCCCTATGCAAAGCATTAGCATGCAAATTGAATTCCGTCAAATGATCCAAGTATATAGAGATTGAGAAGACAGAAAACCCAATACGCTGAGGGCAAGCTTTCCACACATTGTGAAATCTTCAACACACAGAAGGAACTTGATATGCAGCACATCTATAACAAAACCCATCTCATTATACTGAA